ACTACCAACTTTTTCGTGCTCTCTTTGCTCGTGCTGAGCAAGGCTGAAAGAAGCGCCGCAGCGGTCAGACCATGACATAGCGTGGAGGTATGAAGTAGCTGGCTTCAGCTTTGACTTCGGTTAGTGCAGCCCGTCTTTCAGGTTAGGCCCAAGGGATGAGGTTGGTTAAAGACGCTGAGAGATATGGCTCAGAATAGAAGTCAATGGCGCGAATTTTGTACGGTCTACCTGTTGAAGTCCCGTGCTCCATTAAAACGATAAATTAACATAAAAAGTTCAAAAATCGTACGGTGAAACATAAACAATTGTTATACCAGTTATTTACAATTTTCCATTTTAACAGTTTCGCCTTATTTTATTACGTCGTGTATCCCAAACCACACATCCCGTTATTGTTTTTAATGTTGTACCGTTGGCACCATGATTGTCCGCAAGCCACTCTAAAATGTATATCGGATCAAGAAAGATTGAAAACGCATTGTAAGCATCTCGAAGCATTCAGCTAAAGACCGGATTGGTTCAAGAATGATTGCACTTGTAATAAACTGTTAGAAAATGATTATATCAGATTGCTTTGAAATGGCTTGACATAATACCACATCATCACCATATTTAAAGGTCTTGGCTGATGGAACTGAGGGTAAGTCGCTGAGGAAAGTTGAAAATAAGTACGGAGAAAGCGCAGCGCCATGAAGGACTCCAGAATTATTCACTAAAGGTTTTGGAAATAGTGTCGTTTATTTTCGTCCTTTGAATCCTTCCAATCAAATAGCCCTTCAACCACGACAATAAGTTGGTGGATCAATAAAAATGAATGGAACTTCCGGGGAAGAAAAGATCGTGGAACGAATCACAAACTTGTATTAGGCCATGACATACAGTCACGCAGTGTCATTCACGTAAGTTCCGTGGTTTGGACCACTTTCGAACAATGCACCATAAGAACGATTGATCTTCTTGTCAGTTTGAGTGAAACGGAACCCTCAGCCGTCACTACCCTTAAACGCCAATTCGGTCTTAGTCAAGGGTTCGATCTCATTAGGATCGTGAAAAATAGGGCATCGTCGGCCCCACAAATCTGGCAAGTGGTAAAAGCTCCGAATCCATGATAAATCCTATGAGAAGTTACAGAAAATTCGGAACTGATAGGCAGCCTAACGGCAAGGTGGTTCCAACTCAAACTATGATTCGTTCCATCATTCGGCACATTGATAGTTCACCTCAGTCCCACAACACTAATACTTTAGGGACTTTCATAAGAGTGTGAGATACCCATCGATGCCCAACATTCCGTATGTAATCGGCTACCACTCACCAGCCTCCAAATGATGAATAAGCTCAACGTGTGTGGAGTAGACCAAATGGTCCATGCACTCCGACTTTCACAGTTGACAAATCTTACGCATCTTTACACAATCAAGACCTGGCACTGAAAGTAAATGATCATTAACTGCGCAGTGCAAACTGTAGCCTCTGAATGACTTGCTATCTATATTCTAAGCCATTCTTTATTTTTCAGATCAAGACATGACGAACTTCTATCTGATACAGCACTTTCCAGTAACTTTTCGATAAATGTAAATGTGCGGAATCTAGGATAAACCAATTCATCTTTTCCTCTGATTGTGGTGGTGTGCTTGGATCAGAACTGTATTTTCCCAAAATCCTGTGATTAACTCGACATGATTAGAAATACCCCCTTATCGAATTGACAGCAGGGAATTAAATACAACGAAAAATAATTGTTTGAAATTGCGATAAAACAATTCTTTCCAGCAATTACTAATCGCACCAATCATATTTACATGTCGAGATGAAACCAAGGGCTATTCGGGGTCTCTCTTCGCATTATGTGAAAGCGCTCACTGCCGTAGTATGCGCTTGCGTGTGTAGATAGGTGCAGGAGTGGGTCTGCTCGAATCTATGCTACACTAATGCGTCAAGGAGTAAACGGATTTGTTTAGAACACTGCGAACAATCAATCACTCAAGGGTGTTGCTAACTGCGAACATGAAAACTTGGTATTTCTCAGACTGCATTTTCGCAGAGTTGAATCTAACTGTGAGCTTTATCAACTAGACAAAAAAAGAATATCTATTGAGTAAAGAGCGGTGGAATTGCGGGGTTAAATACCTTTTACAGATGAAGGAGAACTACTTGACAAAGAATTTATCATTGATTCTGGCCTGTCTCATATATGCTTCGAAGCACTGACTATACAGACAGTTTTCTTCGATGCAAAACGTTAGAGAGAGTGCAGACGAAACATATCAAAAGGGTTGTAAATGTCTATCTGTTTCTATCGCGCTTAAAGGCAAAAGTGAGTTTCGAAAAGGATGCAGCGAAATCCCTAATGAACGTCATACACCAACACCGCCCGTCCAAACACTCACCAAAAATAACAAGCGTAAGCAATAGAGGTAAATTGTGGATGCTGATCGCTGTGGTGCTGATTTTCGACTCGTTTAAATGCGTGTGTGGGGTGCTTGTAACCTCACGACAGTGATTTCGTAGCACAAAAGAACACCTTTGTTGCTGATTGGGTCCAGGGGATTTTCGGTCAACTCCGGAGTGCAGTTATATCTTATTTGGCCAACATTGGCCACCGTGTACACAAACTGGAATTGCGCATTTATGATTGGTAATCGGAATCTCACAAACCGCGCTCAGAAGCGTTAACTCAACCGATACAACACCCATGAACCCCATTCAGTCTGCGCACATGAATCCGTACAATAAAACTAATTGCACGCACTCACACAACCAGTGTCAAAACTGAAATCCTGTGGCCGCTAAAAGTTGATAAATAAATAAATAGAATTATCTTTCTCAACCCCTTGGTTTTATCTCCAAATTGTAACAACCTTGAAGAAAGCCACTGGTTTTGTAGAGTCTCAAGGTTGGATTAGCCTATTCGATTGTTCACAGGCATCAGACACTCTGGACGGTCTTGTGTGTGGGTTTCATTCCTTGGGAGATCGTTAATTCTCCAAAGGGTAATGCATTGAAATGCGATGAAAATGTTTGTGATAAAGTGATTGAGGCATTTGCACAAGGTGATAACCGTCGACCGTGTAGCTAGGGTTTGAGGTCTCGACCCAAATTTTCGCGGTTTGAGTCCTGACAGGGACACAAAACGTGCGCTTTGCTGACGAGTCGTAAACAGGACGAAACAGCTGTCCAGTGCTCTTTGTCGGTTATCACAAACATTTCCATCGCACTTGAAAGCCACTGTTTACCTGGTGTCTTGCTCCAAGTTGGAGAATAGATATATTTTAAACTTTCAAATATCAACCGATTGTGAACCTACTGGTCATAATTTGAGGCTGAAAAAATTGAAGACATTTGTAATACAATATGCGCATTTGATGCAAACGGCCGCTCAATGAATTTGGGGTTTAAATTAATCAATAACGCATAATTAAACGTGCTAAGCTCATCAGATTCCATAGCTTATTTATATATATGGCTACGATGTTAGTATAAAGCAATGAAACAATATCCAGGTTCGGTTATGTGATTCATAAAATCTATACGATATCAGGACCTCAGTGAACTATGATCTAAACAAATGAATGACCAAAGAACAGGGACAACTTGATACGGTCTGGACCTACTTAGGAGGAAGGAGTATAACACGTGATCTATTTGTATCCTTCGATGCAGCAGTCATCGAAAGTTTGAGTAGCGAAGCTTATTTAAGGGAATCGGAACGAGAGGTCAAGCATTTTCTTTATCCTAGCTAGTCCACAAGCAGGACGAACTATGGAAAAATAGGTCAGCGGTCTGCCCCGATGTCTCGAGTCTGGTTGGCGTTGAAAGCAAAAATATAGATGGTGTGCGGGTTGAATAGGGTAATCGTTTGTCTTTTGCTTGCAGTAAAATGTGATTCATACCAGATAATTTATAACGTTTTGGAATAAAAGTTGACAAGTTCATCTCCAAAAAGACTCCAATGGAAACATGTCTTATGTATCGCTTGTTAGGAAATAATTGGGTGCGGTCTATTGTGAAATAAAAATCCCGAGTGAGGCAAACGCGATGTAAACAGTTTCTGGGCTTCCGTAACGCTAGTTCAGTCTTTTTGGTTCTCAGTGTCAGTGTGTGTATCCAGAGACTCAACGATGGATTAAACAACGTATTCCACAAGGCGAACGGTAACAAATTATCCACTTGATTACCGGGCAGGGGAGGAGAACACTTAACTAAAAGATACCCATTCATAAACACTTGTAATATTTCGATGGTGATTCGTTTGACCATCTTTGCACCATGCTTTTGGTCAACAACGAAGTGTCACTCATTGATATCTTAAGGAATTGTATACACGGAGATCATATGAGAGCACCTTTTTAGAAATTTATTAAATAATCCGACTATAAGTCCCTCGAGATTCCTTATGACTCATCGGGTAAAAGTTATTGTTCCTTTGGATTTGAAAGGCAGAATAGAACATTTCAGAGGTCGTAAGGTATCTCTGAACTACGGCCAGCGAAACTTTATGGTCTTCCGAAGATTTCTAGATTGTGAATCGGTAACAAGCACTCCAATAAATGAACAACCACACATGATCAACATTGTTGACCAATGGCGCGAAAGGTTTTAACCCGACAAACTAAAAATGGCCGTTGGACGATCGATCCGAATGAGAATATTGCTTTCCTTTAAACGGGCTCATTTATATTGCCTTGTCAACTTCTACGTGACACTCGTTTTTGTCAGGATTATGGCCGTGTACCATGGGAAGAATGTGTGGTGGCACATTAAATGATAGGAGAATCCGAATATTCTGGGCTCGATGTAATTTTACCTGGGTACATGCCATGCAAAAGCGAAAGAAGAATATACAACATTGCAAAAGGAATAATCAGACGAATGTAGGTAACTCACACTTAGCCAAACAACTTGGGGATATAATTCTTCGGCTTGTACGATGTTTGGAAGTCGTGTGACCGAGTGTGATTGATCCTGAGCGGGCAAAATGCTAGTTGGCTGTTGCACGGCTATGAACTCCAGCGGATCTCCGGCAATTCGAGGTCCATCTGGGTGCAATTGAGAAAATATTAAAGTTAACAACTCACACCGTCGGACAAAAATATATATTTCAGCTGTGTTATGTAACAATACAGGTATTGTTATATCTTATCAAATCTAACCATGATTTATCAAATCAAATTTGGGTTCAATGGCAGCGAGGCAACAAAACGGCTTGTACCATCAGTCGATCAAATACACCGAGCAACTTTGGCCATAATCACCACCAGCTTGCTGGTGCGTAGAAATGCACAAATTCCAGTCTTCGTTGAGTTTTCTTCATTTAAAATGAGTACCAGTTAAAATCAATAAATTCACAAATCGCCAACCGGACGAAACTGCAAAGGTGGATGATAAGACCATTTTAGTTCCGATTCGTGATTGTACGATACACATTATTGTGAGATGTGCAGTCAGAACCATTAGAATCCATTGCTCACTGCCGATAACCGGCGAACTAAGCTCTGCGATTACAACTGGTGAAGCAGATATAGCTGCATTAGGATAGATCAGGCGTTGAACTGGATAAAGACGAAACAATCATTCCTGAATGCTCGTTTGCGGTTCAACCATATTGCAGGATATGGATTGCCGAAATGTCCATTTGGATGAGGGTAACGAAATAGATAAACTTGTCCTTTCCCCTGTTACTATACAACTTATATATCTGTATAACTGAAACTCTGTTTTATGAGAGTAATGGAGGATTTGATTTGTTGATGTGATGAAAATGAGACGTGAGCTGAAAATTTGGGAAGCACTGGAAAGTTGTTTTGACCTGGTTGGGTCTCATCATCAGTGCGAATCCACTGACCCAACTGTGGATCGAACCCGGGACATCATGGGAAGAACGAAAGCATGCTGCCCACTCGGCCGCTAGGCAGCTGTTGAGATAGATTAGAGAGATATACCACATCTTCATTGCTGCCTAATCACGGTGCGTATCTTGAGGTGCTCGTAACATTCACATTACAAATAAGGTTCAATTATCGACGCTGATTTCATCAGTGGTTGGGTACTCTTTCAGATGCACTTTCGGTGCACCAAATGTTGGTCCAATGGCCTACGTACCTACACGGATTAAAGAGCATCCCTGACGTTGGTGGAGATTATAACAGTTCAGATCAATAAACGGGGCAATCCTCGTGCTCTTAATTGACACCGGACATCAAATAACTCTAAATGTCGCTTTCACAGTTGTTTATGGCGATCCCAAGAGCAAATGCAGGGGTGTTTAATTGCCCCCTATATCAATAACCGGAGCAATGGGAATAAGTGAGTTGACCTCTGACATGTCGGGACCGACGGATTTTGCTCTGAAACCGTGAATTAGTTAAACACATCAATTGACACAGGCAAGTTAGCCGAGACAAATTATTCCCCAGAATTCATGTTGCCTATGAATGTGTGATCTGTTTCCTAGTATTATCTTTGTAGTCCGNCCGCCATCGGCTCGATAATGAATCATAGGAGGACAATTGTTGTGCCAGAATGTTTGTTAAAAATGATGTAAAAAAGCGATAATACTTACTTCCACCTGATTCAATCGTTTTGGGGTTTCATTGTTTGTTTTTGTAAACCAGCATACCGGTATTGTCCGATTGGTTCCACGCTAATCATTGTGCTGATTTTCAACTGGAAATCGATAACACTAGTGTTTCCAAAGCGTTGAAACACACAGATTGCGGATAGCAGCGCATTCCACACAGTTTTATGAGATTTGTTTGATTTTATTCTGGACTACATTATTTTGCTTATTATTTACACAGCTTCCGATCAGTCAACAGTCACATTTGACTGTAATGGGCTTTCAACGATAACTAGGTCACATGTGGGCAAAATAATTTTATCAAATATTCGTAAACATCAGGAACATTATTTTTCCTAAATCCTGGATGCCGCACACTGGGGCCGTTAGACATGATTGTAGCTACTAATCGGTTTTCTTGCAATCAAGTTTGCTAATCGCCATAAATCTGGAATTAGAAAACACGATTGATGGTAACAGATATATAATAAAAGTTAATGGGTTTAAAATAATGACACTAATGTGGAAATTGTTTTAAAAGTTCATCTCGACCCTACACAACAGCCTTAAGGTGATCAAAGGTACACAGCTCTATCTAAACGAATGGATTTTATTGATGACTAATTACTCTGAATCCAATAGAGAAAAGAGTGATTTTAATGTTTCAGCTTAACGACAATCATTTTTATAGCAAGAGACACCCGCAAATAGACATTTGACAATTATTTTATTGCAGTACGGATCTGCTCCATTTGCTGTTGGTATCGTGGATGAAAAATGCACTTCCAGCAGGAAGCGGCTGTTTTTATGCGAATTGAGTCAGATAAACAACGGCGAAAAGTAAATAAATACACGCAACATCTGTCTTCTATCAGTACACATAAATTGGACCAGCGAAACACAATGGTTCGAAAGCTGTGCCAGTCGGTAGTAGTGCGTTTGGTCACATTACCGTTAAAACGAGGCTGATTACTAGAGTCGGTTTTGAGGAACATCACAGAGCAATGAGGCTCGGGGTGTGGACCAACTACGAGTCTAGCGAGAACAGTCTAGGAGTTAAATTGGACTGTGAAGTCTTGCGAAGGGAGTCCTGCTACCATGTGATCCGTAAAATTTTACACGATGAAAGGGGAAACTATTTATGTACAGAGCACAAAAGGAACGGCAAAGAAACTTCACCATGAAAAAGTGTACAATGCGCTGTCAAAGAGAACAACAGTTTACCAGTCGACTAATGCGCTTTGACCGGAGTGAGAAGTAATGAGCTAACAGAAGTCGTCCCAGTCTGAAATACGAACTATGACGAATTTGACTTGGTTTCAAACAGCGTTTGCATTGGATCAAACTGAAACTCTCTATTACATTTTCAAAGTTCTTGTCTTCGATATCATTACTAGTGCACAAGGGGTATTATTTTGCGAAAGTTTCTCTGAAGTCGATGGAGATGGACCGTGGTTTCCGTTCCCCATGGTGACCTGATACACTTTTCATGCACATGCCTTCACTTGCATTTCACACATTATGACTTCAGCAAATATGATTAAAGTTTATTCAAATTTACTTTGTTAGAGAACGACGAAGGAAACTTCGTATGAACTCTAAAATAACGTGCATGCATTTAGATATCCACAAAAGCTGCGCATAGTAATCCCTTACGTTTCGGCTTCAGAATTAGAGTTGTAGGCAGTTTAAGGCTCCAGGGAACGATACTGATTATTTTCCCATCTAAAAGGATCAAAATAACATCCTTTAAACAGAAAATTTAAAAGAATTTTGATGTGGGAGTTATGCTTGAGTGGAATGATTGGAGGTTATGCGTGAAACTGAACTTTGAGCGGTTGTCAATGAAAAAAATGCAAGATTTATTCTATGCTTCTACTGACCATTATTTGCCGCTTACGAAGTTGAGACAAAATTCAAAGTACCCTGAAGTGCCGCTGGGTGGTGACGTTCCCAACAAAGGATAGCAAAAAATCGATTTCAAAGAATCTTTAAGCGAGTGTTCTCCTTTGAAATGAACCTGCACATGAGTGTATTGGTAATGTGAAAATCCCTGAATTTTTCAAATCACAGAATTTTCTTTTTCGAGATACACGAACTCCACCGTGGATAAAACTAAACTTGTATTTTGCATTTGTCCGTAAATAATACGCTCTTTGTCTTCTCTAACCTCAGGGTTATATGAGGATACAGATTCATTAGGCGGTGAAGAATCATGAATTATTCTGTGATTCTTTTCTAGAATTCTGTGAAGAGTTTACGGTGCATACGCTGGCATCACCTTATCCACTTGTATCGTTTGGATGGACCATTTTCCTAGCAAATTATTACAGTGTAGAATGAATTAAAAAGAGAGATGCATCACACCCGGTTAAATTCACCCGTCAGGGGTGTTTTGCATTTTATTTGACACCCGGGGATAAGGGACGTCTAAGCGTAGTGACTAAAGGGATCATCCGGCTAGAAGACCACGGTGCACACGTGCATAAGTGACGCAGTGAATACGAATTAATGAATATACTCCTTTCTGTTTTATGTGAGACGTTTTCACGAAACTCTCAGCAGTCAGTGGCCAAACTGTTTTGATTTCCCTGGAGAAAACTGAAACCAGTTAATTTGAAACGTCTGAGTAGATCAATAACTACATCCTTCCACAAATGGATGAAAAATATGCAAATCTCACTTCAGAAGGAACAGAAATAGGGATGCATCCCTAAAATATTTCAATGCTTTCTACGCAAGATATTCTTCAGTATTGGTCACAAACAGATACAGGCTTCTGTTCGAATCATACGGTTAAATTGTTTCAGCATTATCACTTTTTTGATTCCAAAAGGAGATCCTGACAAAACTTTAACAGCTTGCGACCAGAAATTCCCAGGGAGAATTTGGATACCCTCAGCTCCCTCCCAAAAAGTGGACGGTACATTTGTTTACTTGGTTAATCAAAAAAGGATTGTAAAACATTCATTAGATCATCAATTGTTACAACGTTTTTCATTCTTCACAAATCATTTTGGCGCGGATTACCGATTTGATGTAGTGATTCATGCACCAGTAGCGCCATTCACAGCCTCTTTTAAATTAATTAATATACGGACACGTAACAAAGTTCGTCCAATTAATTTCTCACACGATGAACCACACACAGACGGCCAAATAAAATAATCAATTGATCATATAAGCAGCTTTTTTGACGTCAACTTCTACGTTCATAGTAAAATAATGTTCTTTGTAGTTCAATGTACCCAAGCTGTGCGCAAAGTTCCAGGCCTGGTTCGATCTATTTGCTTTGGTGCAATGAAGTTGTTCCGATCAACATTAATCTCGAAAAAATGCATTTTGATAAAAATCCATTACCGAAATTCATAAACGACTAAAGGCCAAAATGCCGGATTCTGCTGTCTCATTTTGTGTGTACTCATTTACGTGTTCCTGTGGAACAACTTACATAGGCCGCACGGTCAGGCGTTTGTCC